GATAGGAAGTCTTTAAGTAAATAAAAAATAATCTGTAACAGAAAGTTTGAGGAAGGTGGGACAAGATGATGAATACAGGCCGTTCTGCCTGTTGTGCTCCAGAGACATTGCTGAGGCGTACGGGTAAACGTGGAATGATAGGTCTTTGCATATTGCTGTATTATAAACAGTTGTATTGGTTGAATTGGAAGTAATCAACTATTTTGTTTTTAGGTTATACAATGTCAGCCTTCATCAGACGATACAGCAGGTATTTGAATGAAAAGTCGCGCGCATATAGACTGATGGCATCTGACATTACAAAAATCAAGAGAGGGTCAGTAATCGGCGTTAGTTTGTAAGCAAGAAATACTGACACGCATATGTGGTCTGCTTTGTAGTTTGTCAAACACACAGCTCTGTTGCAAGACGCTGATGTCACAGTGCTTTTCAAATTCTTAACTTTTGATGTTCATGAATTTCTTTTACCTTTTATAGGATAGATGGTGTGATAAGAACTATGAATACTGAAAAGCTGCTAAACACGCTTCCAGTTCTTCAAACCCAGCTGGATGCTCTTCTTAATTTTAATGTGAGAACGTTAGAAATCCTTTCTTTTTTCTTTAATATCAGTAAATATCATTGTTTAACTATAGGTGGGAGAAGGATTTTCTTACCTGTGGTGGTAACTGATGACTCTTTTATTTAATTTTCAGGCAAATCCTGATGAACTAACGAATGGTATAATACGTGCTGCTTTTATGCTTCTCTTTAGAGATGCTCTTCGTCTTTTCGCAGCCTATAATGAAGGGATCCTTAATCTGCTAGGTAGGATAAAGAATAAACAATAGTTTTTAAAAGATAAGATGGTAAAAATACTATATTTGTGAAAATCTTTTACCTCTACGTTCAGACTCGTATTTGCTTTAGATTTCAAATAGAGAGTCCTTGCAGGCTCATGTGTATTTTTAAACAATGAGATATTACATTGTCTTTTTGGTTAAAAATGATTTCTCTAGTTAGCCACAAGGCTTTTCCATTTTTATACACATGTCAACTGATATTTCTGGGAAATTTACCAGGGAATCAACTAGGTTGCCATGTTTATACCGTACACATTAAGGCCCATTTCCACCAAAGTC